GTGTGTGTGTGTGTGTGTGTGTGTGTGTGTGTGTGTGTGTGTGTATGTGTGTGTGTGTGTGTGTGTAAAATCGAGTTTGAACTTCCTGTCTGTCTGCTCCATGTCATCAGTCAGCTGTGGGAAGACTGTGGGAAGGTCGTCTCCACTGTAACTTTAAAGATGGTGTGAGTGAGCGTTTGTGTTTTGTTTTGCCCTGCCCTGCTGCCCGGGCTGTTTGTTGTTCTCTTTGGGACAGTAGTTCCCTGGGAAACAAGGTGAGCATAGCTCTGGCCCTGACTCTGTGGTCTGTGAGAGGCACAGGGGCAGCTGCAGTTTGCTCTTGAGGCTGACACACTCCAGAGCCAATGCAAGCTTTGTTTCCTTTCTACTTGAAACCTGAGTCCCTTTTGTCCTGTAGCTTCATTCCTGCAGTACGGGCCACCACGGAACCCCTGTCACCACAGTTTTATGGAAAAGGAGCAGACAATGTTTATTTGAGGGAAACTGAGGCTGAATGTGAACAAATCAGCTGCCTGGGACAACATGGAACATGGAGGAGTGAGAAAAATCCTGGTTATTAGAATCTGCTGGCTCACTGAGTCCTTCAGGTTGAGGTTGGATTAGCCAACAGGTAGAGAGTGTAAGGCCTTCATGGCCAGAGCAGTGTCATGTGCAAATGGGACCTCAGTGAATTCTACCTAGGGGACAGGGGCTAAATGCCCTCTGAGCTAAATCCAGAGCTATGTCTGTGTGCTATGGAATTCCTCATTCTGACTTTTGTCCTAGGGACAGGGATTTTTTTGTTTGTTTTATTTTGTTTTGTTTTTTGAGACAGGATTTCTCTGTGTAGTCCTGGCTGTCCTGGAACTCATGCTATAGACCAGACTGGCCTCAGACTCAGAGATCCACCTGCCTCTGCCTCTCCAGTGCTGGGATTAAAGGTGTGCACCACCAAAGCCTGGCTTAGGGACAGGGATCTTTGGCTTCCCACCTCACCCTGGGCCTGAGTGATATTCCTGGGTTGAGGGTGGGGTGCCACTCCTGGCTGTCACATGGGACATGGCTGCTTGTTCATTAGCCACTGTGGCCTCCTCCTTTTGGGCAGCTGCCTGGGAGATCCTGCTCTGTGGATCTTTGGGGACTAAGGGATTGAAGATGTACACTTAGGATTGCTTGATGGGTGCACTATGGGAAGCTGGGTGATGGCTCATGTTTCCTTCCTGTGAGTTTCCAGGGACATAGGGGAACGGGCCTGACAGCCTGTGGACATTCTGACTTCCAGGAGGTAGCTGGTGAGGACAGTCCTATTCCCAAGGCATTGCAGTAGCAGGATTATAAGGAGCTTATACAGTCTGTGCTCTTGGGCAACTCCAAATGGTCTGTTTAGAAAGGAGCACTTTGAGTTAACTGAGGCATCAATAACTAGCTTGACAACCTAAGGTGAGAGAGGGGAGCTCAGCTCTTACTATAGGATGAACCCGAACTGTAGGCAGGTGGCTCAGTCCTGTTTGAACATCAAAAATCAGTTGGAAGGACAGACAGACACATCCTTGTAGCAGGCTTACTAGAGTAATTGTGTGTGTGTGCACTGTGTGCCAGTGTCTCGGTCTGTAATTTTAATCAGACTCTAGGTGACGGAGATCTTCTGCAATGGTTGTGAATGGGAATTGTGATGAATGTGGCTTATTTATCCAGACTGTCCACAGACGGTGCTTCCTCTGTCGAGAGTCAACCCTTTGGGCCTCCAAAGCCCCAGACTCCAGCCCATGGGCTTTCATTTAGGCCCAGAGTGGTCCTGAGTCTTCTAGGAAGTTGGTGGCCTGGCCAGCATGTTGAATCTCTTTCTCACCCCTCTGGCTGAAGGGTGGGGTGTTGTCTCTGTGGACTAGGATCTTCCCATTAACTCGGAAGAAGCACTGTGTCTCTCAGGCCTTCCTGGCTGCTGTCATCACTATGTGGTTAAATCTTTCTCATCCTTGTAGTCACTGAGGAAAATTCTGGGACAGAGGACCCAATTAGCACAGGGCTGGGTTAGGGCTTGGGTCTGGGGAGCTGGCTGAGCCTCTCAGTCAACCTGTTGGGCCAGACATTGCTGTGGATTCCCCTGCCTTCTGGGGCCCGGGCAGGGTCTATGGCAGGCTGGTTTCCAGGCAGAAGGCAGGGTTCTCAGTTCCCGAGCTGTGGTTTGTTGCTCAACATAAGGAAGCTGTTACAGTGTTCTTGCCTGTCCCCAGATGGCATCTGGAGGGAAACACTCTCAGGAGTGTGACACTGGGAGGCCCAACTCTATCATTAAGTAGGTCTGGCCATGCCTAGCCTCCATCTGTTACCCTGTTTCAAGAAGGAATGCATAAAACTGTGTGGAGTTGCAGAGCTTGCAATGAGACCTCTGTCAAAGGGAAAGTGAAGTCCAGTCAGGGGCAAGAGCTGGTGACTGACCCGAAGGCTTGAGGGAGGGGAGGAAGAGGCTCAGAGTGGCCAAGCTGAGGTAAACAAAATGGTCAAGGTGGCTAAGAGGGTTAGGGATGTAGCTTGTTCAATGAGTTGAGAACAAGCACCATGCTCTTCTTGCTGGTACAGACAGGCCTAACCTGAAAAACAAAAACAAAAAAACCCAAAAAACTTGGAGCACCAGTGTTGGGGAGATGTCACCAATATCCCAAACTTTAGCTCAGGAGCAGCATACAACACAGGCTCCAGGCAGCTGCTGAGGAAAGGGTTTTGGAAGAAAATAGAAAGTTCTAGAAAAGAGTGATGGAATTACACCTTCCCCGAGGCTTGAAGGTGATTGTGCTCCATTGAGAATCCTCATAATGAGCTCCTCCCCAGGGTCACATGGCCTTGGGACTCTGGAAATGGGGCATTTCTGAGAGAGGACAAAGGGCAGGAAAGACATGGTGACCTGGGCCTGGGCCAGGCATTGATCTTTCACCTTAGCCAGGCTTTAGCTCTGGTAGATTGCTGCAGAGAGTTTAAAAGTGTTTCTCTCTCTCTCTCTGTCTCTCTCTCTGTCTGTCTGTCTGTCTCTCTCTCTCTCTCTCTCTCTCATCTCACAGGGCCCTGGATGCCACAGGCTAGCACCCTTTGGACCCCTGAGGCCTGCACTCAGGGCCCAGGGACAACTGCCACCTCCAGACAGCCTGGTGGGCACCTTCCCCACCCAGGTCATGGACATCCGTGATGATGTCCCTCCAGGTAGGGAACCTTGATGGGCTGGGAACATTCCTTTGGTAGTTCAGGGGTCACACTCAGCCAGATAGCCACATGCTGATCCTGGTTGTCCTGACTTCAGTGGCCTTGACTGTTGGCCTGCAAAGCTCCCGGGCCTGCAGGGGTCTCCAGCTGGCTTTGTGTCTGCTCTGAAACAGTGGGTTGGTTCCTTGAAGGGTTAATTCCACCTTGTGGTTGTGAACCTGTGGGTGGCTGGGTCAGGAGACAGTCCAGGCACTCTGGTTTCAGGTGGAAACTGAGGGATTTGCCCCTGCCCCAGATGAACTGCATATGACTGTCAAGTGTGGAGTTACTACTAACCTTGGATGGGCGCAGGTGTAGGGGGTGCATCTCCAGGTGACCTTGGGAAAGTAGATAGCAGCTGGGAGATCTTCCCCACATCTCTACCCACCCGACCCCATGATCTCTCTTTCTTGAAACAAAAACAAACAAAAATAAACAAACAACAAAAACAAAAATGAAGAAGACAAAAAAAAAGAAGAAAAAAAAGAAAATCCAGACCAAAAAAAGAAAATCCAAATGAAACAAAAAGCACACAACAATAACAACTACAAACCATGGAGTTCATTCTGTGTTGGCCGACTACTCCTGAATGGAGCTTGCCCTGGAGCGTGGTTGATGTATCCAGTGTCACTTGATTGGAGAAAACTGATTTTCCCTTTCCTAGCAGGCATCAGTTGCAGATAGCTTCCTGGTTGGGGGTGTGCTAACTTGGTTAGGTGTCCTAACACCTAACTTTGTGTCCACTTCCCTTCTCAGGGCTGGGATTTTGTCGGGTTTGAATATGCACAGGCCTTGTGTGTGCTGTCACAATCCCTGTGAGTTGGTATGCATGTCAACCTTGTTGTGTCTTGGAGTCATCCACTTCCTCTGGCTCTCACAACCTTTCTACCTCTTCTTCCATGTGGATCCCTGAGCCTTTAAAGGAGGGATTTGATGAAGGCATCTCTTTTAGGATTGAGTGTTCCAAGGTCACTCTCTGTACACTGTCCAGTCGTGGGTCTCTGTATTAAATCCCATCCACTTCAAGAAGTTTCTCTGAGGAGGGATCTGATCTATGGGTATAGCACCATGCCATTAGGAGTCATTTATTGCTGTTTCTTTAGCAGTAGGCTTGATGAAGACTTCTTATAGGAGTGGTCCCCTAGCCACCTCTCTCTTCTTTCCCTGGCTTCTGCTCTGGTTCCTCTCCTACTGGGAAGCCTTCTCATCTCTTCCCTTACTAGGACTTACTGTGTCATTGCTTATTCTTCATCATCTGTCTGCCACTGGCCTTCCAGTGATAGTAAGGAGTACTGGGTCAGCCTTGCAACCCTCTGGCCAATGTGTACAGGCCAGAATCCCTGCACCGTACAGGCACTAGGAATGAAGGGTGCCATTTGTTAAGCCAGAGAGGCTGTGGAGGGAAGACTATAGATTACTGCTTGAGGCCTTCTGAGGGTGAGGCAGGTAATAAATGCTTTGAATCAGGGCTTTGCCAAGACCAAGGCTTCTCTGGTAAAGGAGTTACCTGTAATGGGTACCAGAGGGTGGCCCAGGGAGAACACTGAGATACACTGTGACAGAGGCTGAAGAAATACATAACTAAAGGGCTTGACCCAAAGCTAGAAGGAGCTAGAGAGCAGACAGATGGAGAAAGCAGAGGTAGAGGGAGAGAGGGGGAGAGAGGGGGGAGGGAGGGAGGGAGGGAGAGAAGGAGGGGAAGAAATCAGGCGTGAGAGAAGAAGTAGGAAGAACTTGATGAGAGAAGGATGCTAGGGGGGCCTGGGCTGGTAGGCTTTATGGGACTTCTTTGAGGTCACTGCCTGGCTGGTACCCCCATTAAAGGACCAGGCTCTGGTGTGAGGACCAGGACCTCCCCTTTGTTCTTCTAACAGAGATCCCAAGTGCAGAATGGTAGTGGGTAATGTACTCCTATCCTTCCTTTATACCCTAGTTTTGGCCACAGAGGACTCAGAGGTACTGTTATTTTGTGATTCTTTTCCCAGCCAAAGTTCTGGCTCCAGTGGCTGTGTATTGTGGGAGTGTTCCTCGGACTAGTGTTGGGCTCCGAGTGCCCCCACCTGGAAGCATCGACTCTAGTCTTCTTGCTTATGGCGAAGGTAAGAACCTGGCCTGGTGACTGGGTCACACCAAATGGCCCTGGTGGCCTCTCTGGGGTCTTTGGCATGGGAGATGAGATGATCTTCTAGAAAGTACCCTGGCAAGGCCACTGACCACAGAGCTGGAACCCAGCCTGGAGGAGGATGCAATGGTATCTGGATGGTCGGACATTCTCAAACTATTTAGCAGGTGTTTTTGTATCATGGTCCTTGTTTAAAATGCTCCTAGAGACTAATTTTAGTCTCTAGGTGGAGGAAGTTGAGGAGCAGAGTTCAAAGTCATCCTCAGCCACACAATGGGTTTGACACTAACCTGGGTTACATGGACTCTATCTAAAAGAAAAAAAAATTAAAAGCTGGAAATTATGTGCTTGTGACCATTTAAATCTAACAAGACATTTATTTACCAACTTTTATATGTGTGGAGTGATGCCTAGTTTTAAAAGTTATTTTAATTAAGGAGTAGAGATGAAACAAAACAAAAAGAAACAGAACCACTGAAACAAAAAGTAAAAGAAACAAACGAAAGTCTCCTTAGGTGATGAGGGTCATTGTGGGAGACCCCAGGGATGGGAAGGTGGTGCTCTTGGTATGGATTAGTTCTTCTGGGAACCTGGGACCCCTCAAACTCCAGCAGGACAGGGCTGGTCTCCCCAGAGGCCTGCATCTTGGGCTTAGGAAGGCACCAGAGGCATGAATAGTAGGAGATGGAGCATGGCAGTCCTGCTCTGATGCTTGCCTTCACTCCACTCAGTCCCCCTGTCACCTTCTGCTCTGGGACTCTCTGCTCCATTGACTAGCTATAGACTGCTTAAGGCAGGGCTCAGTCCCTTTGCTCTGAGTGGAAGCCACCATGGTTCTGGGAACTTGTGTTATTTCAGGGTTGTGGTTGGTCTGGGAGTTTGGCTGTCCTTGGGTTGTATGCCAGTTGCAGTCCAACTTTTGAGCATCAGGTCTTAGCATTTATGTCCAGAGACTCCAAGATGTGAAACAATATGGAAGTGCCTCTACAAGCTCCATGCCCACAATTCCCCTTGCTCTTCTAGGTTCTAGGACCATCTGGGCACCATAGTTCACCAACACCTTCCACATCACCACTCACAACAGCAAGTGCATTGAACATTTCTCTCTATAACTTAGGGCACATTTCATATTTATCTTGAACCTATTAACAGCATATCATATTGAAAGTCCCTTAATCACAAAGGCTGTGCTCTACTCATCTCTGTCCCTCCACTGATTGGACAATACACTGCACACTGACAGTGTCTATTGAATGCTAGGTGAATGAGAAATTGCATGGCTTGAAGTCTACATGTGAGCTTGACTTGTTCTGAAGACCCAGATTGTCCTCTGAATCCATGTTTAATATTGTCAGTCCTCTAAAGTCCTGTCCTGGAGTCTGCTGGATGCATTTCCTGGGCAGACAACCATTTTTGTTTGTTTTTTTTAATGTATTATCATTTCTTGCTCATTCTGCAATAAGGCTGCATATGGATCCCCTTTTATTCCCCTTTTATTCTCGTTCAGGGTTAGGTGTCTCATGGCACCACTAATCTATAAATGGCCCCCAGGAATGACCGAAACGCAGAATGACTGGGTTCATCAGGCATATGGCTGGCTGTTCTAACAAGTTTGCTGGTGCCTGGTGCCACCTTGGGTCTTGGTTGAGAAGCCATTGTGTCTCTGTTTCTCCCAGTCTCTCTGCAGCCAGTGTCAAATGTCCTAAGCAGTGAGAAGCCATCACAGCTCTTGAGTGGACACAAGGTCCAGGATAGCCTCACAGTGGATGCTCCTTTGAAAGGCTGGCAGGCCAGGAATGGCTACCCCAGGAACCTCGGAGTTCTGCCCTTGGGGCCCCACCCTGTGGGAGCTATCCCCTCCCTGGAATCAGAGGCCAGCAGTGTGGCCCGGGACACCATCCAGATTAAGGACAAGCTCAAGAAGAGGCGGCTCTCAGAAGGCATGGCAGCATCTTCTCAAGGTGAGCGTGACCCGGCCACCACCTTCTCTGAGGTCAAGCACCCCAGGCCACCCAGGCTATGAGGATCAGTCAGCGTTTGGGCTCTTGGAGGACTGCTGGGGCTGGTCAGTAGTCGGCTTCTACTGACGGGGTGCTGCTTTGTGGGACAGGCAGGGGGCAGAAAGGATGAAGTGTAAAGAATGCTGGGAGAGGAGCAGCATGTCTTTCAGGCTAGGTTAGGAATGTCAAGGCAGCTCTACCCACATCGGTATCTGAGGAAGAGGTGGGAAGGGAGAAGGAATTGATCAGTCCCTGTGTCTGCCTGGCACCAGGTTTGCATTTTGTGTAAGTGCACAGAATGACCGGGATTCACCAGGCACTCTGCTGACATTCTATGGGTCTATTCCTTGAGTCTTAGTGGATATCTTATTACGTTCACATCTCTGACCAGCACCCAGAGCAGAAACAACTGAAGGGAAGAAAGGTTTATTTTGGCCCATGCTTCCAAGCTGGGGTGGGGAAGGCAGGGCGGGGGGGCAGCTCCATTCACAGCAGTGGGTACGTGTGTCTGAGGCTGTTCACAAACCAGGAAGCCGAGGCTGGACCCAGGGTCTGGGTTGTAACCTTCAAAGTTCTCTCCCGAGTGACCCACTTCTGCCCTCCTCCAGCTGGGCCTCATCTCCTAAAGCCTCCACAGTTGCTCCAAATAGCACAGCCAGCTGGGGAGAATGTGCTCCAGACATGAATGTGAGGAGGGACATTTTAGATCTGAAGTTATGAACAAGCAGAGTCACACAGCTTCTAGCCAGGGCCAGCTGTCCCCTCTCTTATCCCACCACTGCTCTTGTCTTTCTACCCGTGCCCTCTTTGACTTTGATGTTCATTTCTACCTAATTCTATGGAAATGAAAAGGGACCCTCACAACTGCTCTTCTGATGGGTGTTGGCATAGAGCTGGAGGGAGCCCTGCTCTCTCCCCTCAGCGTCTCTGCTTCTCCCAGGACACAAGTCCTAGGTTAGCATGGCAATCCTCCTCAGCTCCCCATGCTCCAGATGCTAACTCATTCCGAATCTTACCTTGCTCACTCTCTCTAGGTCCTGGAGGAGGTCCCAAAGGAGTTCCTCTGAGGAGTACCATCCCCCGTACCACCTCACAGAGGCTGCTGAGGGTGGCCAGGCCAATGCCTCCCATCCAGAGCATCCCCACCACCCCTGAGGCCAGCAGTGCCAAGGAGAAGGACCTGGACCCTCCTGGGGGCAGACAGGTTCTCCAGGACTTGGGAGCCAGTGCCCAGGAGGTAAAGAGACTCCACTGCCCCGGGGTCTTTACTGCAGTTACCCTACCTGCTTTTCTTTACAAACTCTTGTCCCATGCTCTGTGCATCTCTGCCAGTGTCTCAGGACAGCCTTAAAGATCAGGATGGCTTCGAGAGATGCAAGGCTGTCATTTCACTTCTCCCCATAGTGTTTCAGACCTCCACGGCTGGCCCGGGAGTTTGGCTGGAGGGCAGGGGATTGCCCGAGAGATACAGGGGCTACAAGACTGTCCATCTTGGAGTTGGTGGCCCCCAGGATTTCCCTGGTATTCATGTCTCAGGACTTGCCTAGTTTTCTGGTCATCTCTTGTTTAATGCCAGTGATTGGCATGAGGGACCACCGCCCCCACTGACCCTATTTTGTACATCTGTAAAAGCAGAACTTTGAATTGGGTACTTTAGAGGGTCCCTTCCTGCTCTGATAGTCATAGATTCTTCTGAAATGAGAAGATTAAAAAAAATCCAAATGGTAATAAAAACAACAGAAGAACTTGTCAATCTTCCCACCTGGAGTGACTGGGAAAGACTGGCCTTTGCAGAGGGGCTGGGTTGGGCTAAGAGACCCTTTCCCCAGCTGTCTCCTGGCAGGAGACACTCCGTGTGAGGTCACCAGGAGTTGAACATACAAGGACCAGGCTCCCTTCCCCTTCCAGGTACAGATCTCCAGGCAATACCTGCATTGCAATGATGAGAAGATGCTCAAGTCTCTAGGAGGCATCGTGATCCCGCCCATTCCGAAGACCCGGCTGCCCACAGGGACCTCTTCCTGCAGGCCCGACTCCCTACCCAGCCCCTTGGGTCCAGGTCAGGATGTGCTTGTGGGACCAAGGGCTCCACAAATGCGGTAAGGGGCCAACTTCAAATCTCAGGTCTGTTTGTAGTCATCTCTCCTGTAACTTGTGCACCTCCTCATCCCTCTTGGGTTCCTCATTGCTGAGTCACCATGGTAGGCACAGCTTTGAGGCACCAGGTTAGGATAAGGTAAAATGCCCCACCCACAAGCCCTAGACTCGTGGAGGCTATAGCACAGAGGTTGGGGCTTCTCTGATCCATGAAGGCATACGTGACAACTGATGTGGGTGGCCTGTTTTTTAGTTTCTTAATGTTTATGGTTGCTATAGTGATGAATAAAGTACAAATTGTTTTAGGGTATGGTGGATCTTTACTACTATGCATTTTCTTAACTGATAGATACTAAATCCACTACCATTAGCATGTATATATGAGTATGCTCATGTATGTACATGTTTGTGTATGCATATGCGTGAGTATATGGGCTTTGCATAAAACTTTTGAACTTAAAGAGGAGTTCTTCATACCCAGAAACAGTTGGGGCAGGGGCTCTGAGTTGTTATGAGTCTTATAAAGAAGACAGGCAGAGCCTTCTAAATGGCTCTCAGCATCCAATGGCCAGCTCAGACATGTCAGAGTGAGCGAGTAAGAATTCATATACACATGCCTGTGAGTGTATGCTTGTGATCATGTTTGTATATGTGTGTGAGTATGTATACACACATGTGAGTGTATATGTCTCTGAATGTATGTGTGAGTATATGCTCATGAGCCTGGCTCTCCTAGTATGGTGCATTAGTTTTTTTTTTTTTTTTTCTATCACCATGATAAAAACCACAGGACCAAGGCAAGTTATAGAAGAAAGAGTTTATTTGCACTTGTAGTTCCAGAGGGGTGAGAGTCCATTGTGGTGGGGAAGCATCAGGCATGGTGGCACAGGATGCTGAGAGCTCACATCTTGGTCCTCAAGTAGGAAGCAGATTGAAAGCACAGGGAATAGCTTTTGAAACCCCAAAGTGTTCCTCCTGCAACGCCATGCCTCCAAACCTATCCAAACATTGCCACCCTCCCTGGACCAAGTATTCCAACACTGAGACTATGGCGGCGCGGGGCGGGGGGGGGTGTTTCTCACCTAAACCGCTACGTAGAGTTGTCATACCCTCTTTCCACATTTCTTTGGCCAGATGTCCCAGACAGGAGTCTCCTATTTCTCTCCTGTTTCCTTGATCTCCTGTCCCCTGCACTGCCTTTTCCTCTGTATACACCACCTCCCCATTTTTCTCCGGCCTTGCTGGGATGTGGGAACGAGTCCATGCACCTGCTCCTGATGGCAGCTCTCTTTTCACTTTCACACGCAGGTGAACCTGCTCCTCCGGACCCGCCTTCCTTACTGTTGGACATTCCTCTTTATACCCAGATTCCTCTCCTCTCTACAGCATTAATGGTGGAGTTCTTGCTCTGCCCAGGTCCTTTCCTCCCATCTCATGACTTAACTTTCTTGTATCTTTTGGGCTGTGGCCAGCCCTCGGACTTTTTCCTTCCTCTCCTCTCTGGTTTGACCCCTGTCTTCACCTTCCAGGGAGTCTCCTACATGTTCCTTTTCATCTGTCACTTAAATTTACCCCTCCTGGAAAACTTCTGGTTATCTTCTGGAGCCTTTACCTGTGCCCATGACCTCTGGGATCAGGGGCTCTGGGTGACTTTGCCGTGGCCTGGCCTCTCTCCCTGGAGACCCACACTCTCCCTGGGAACCTCTGGTTTCTCATGGGAGATGCTGGTCAGGATTAGAGGAAGTAGGGAGAAAGGGAGTGTAAGATGTTACCATGGCAACATGAGGCACCTTGTACTTCCCCAAATTGCCCTTCCATGGAGGAGCTGCCCTTTGCCTGCACCTTCAGCAGTCTGGCTCTGGCTTCCTGTGCCCTTGGTTCCCCACAGACTGCCCCTCCCCCACAACAACAGAATGCACAGAAATGCCCACCTGGTTCTTGTCCCTGCCGTTCCCTCCCACTTTGCACTTCTAGCTGCTTCATAGCTTCACCCCAGAGGTCCTTATCTGCCCCTCGCTGTCCAGCCTCACCCGTCAGTCCCCATACACCCTTTATGACATTCTCCTCCATCTCTTGCTGCCAGCAGCTTTTGAGAGCAGCCTTCTTGGTTTGATCCCAGGGAGCACCTCACCCTCCTCCTGTGTTACACACAGGGAGCACCTCACCCTCCTCCTGTGCTATAC